TTCTCAAGTCTAAAGATCTTCAGGAGAGATCCTCTTCGGTCAGATCCACAGCTTTCTGGAGAAGGGGAGGGAGGGCCTTCTCTGCGGCAGCTCCCAGGTTGCGGATGGCCTCCCGTGCAGGGAAGGCTACACTGGCCCCCTCCATCTTGCCCTTCCGGGACAGGGAAGACAGCCTCTTAAAGATAACTGGACAGTTTTTGATCTTATGTGATGGCCACTTCTTTTCCATGTTTTAAAGGTGTTTTTAAATAAACAGTTTCATCTTAATACTGTTCTAAGCTTGTTTTTTAGTGTTATAACTGAATGTGGTTTTAGTTGATTTTTTGAAAAATTAATTTGTGATCGTCGCTCATTTGGGAGGAAGGGGGCAGACAAATGTAAACAAACAAACAAATTGTCCTGGGTAGTTTAAAGGCTAGCGCAACATTCTCTCTTAGACCATAAGGCTAAAGCCATAAAACAGACGTGAAGGTGGAACTGTAGAAGGACAGATCAGAGAGGACTTAAATGCAGACAATACATCACTATGTTTGCTGAGAGGAGCAGAGAGTTGTAGTCCCTACTCGGATTCTGACAACTAGCTATGTGTTATAAGTAGCATTTATACCCTGCTTTTATAGGCATGATCGTGAAACTTGCCACAGTTTGCTCTGTTACCATTTATCTGATAATACAGGGATTTCCCTCCTCTTTTCTCTAATACAGGGAATTCCCTCCTCTTTTCTTACCTTCAACACAAGCTTTTAGTTGCTATATCGCTGCACTGCTTCGTATGCTATATATTGCATATTTCTGTTATGCTCTGTGTTGCATTATTAGTCTAGTGCTGGTCTTGGGCCTTAATAATAAAGTACCAGTGACTAGGAAAACGATTTACAAGGCTGCAAACATTTACCAGATCCAAAAGATCTGCAGTAAGAGAGACCCAAGTTCAGGCAGCAGGGGACCTCACACACTTTTCTGAACTTGGACAAAGTCTGGAAGATAAATGACTTCGTTTTCCTAAACCTCTTGGACTTGGAAGCTAGCCCGGTCACCTCAACACATGAAAACTGCATTTGGGATCGTGTGCCAAGTCCCATTCAAGCTGCTCCGCCCGCAAAATTGAAAAGCAAGTCCAATAGAACATACATAGTTAGTCTTGCTTCGAAACGAAGGAGTTTAGGATTCAGCATTTTTACTCCAGGAATATTTTGCTTTAATCGGCTTATATGGATCAGCTTGGTTCGCAATGTGTGTAGACTTTAGTTCAAATCGTAGATAAACAGATGAAGGAAAAAGCGAAAGACGGTAACGATGGCCTTCGGTTTTCATTGCAAGCGAAGGATTAAATACAGCCTGGGCTGGGCGTTTGCAGTCTTAGGCGATCTATCACAAACGCCCCTCCTTCTTTCAGCGGTAGAAATAAAATAAGCATCGGGGACAACTAAGAGCACCTTTTAAGGGATGCAGCCTTTGCAGTCTCGCCAGAAGCTGCTCCGATTCCTTAAAAGACATTTGGCCCCTTTCTCTTTTAACTCACGATCAGGGGCGCGGGCTTCACCTTTTAACCTCGCTGCTTACGAGCGATCTGACCATTGGAATCCGTATTATGAAATACAAAGCTGCAATTTGATTTTGCGGCAGTTCTTTCCGATTAATTCGTATTGGAATTGTATGTCGCCCTTAGGCTCACCCCGTTTGATAGCAGCCCTGGCGTGGATTGTCTCTCTCTCACACGTCCAGCAAGTAAATCAAACCCGTTAGAGAGAATCCTGCAGATGTTTTATAGTTACTCATCTGGAATAAGAGGCGCCATATACCTCCTGCGCCTTCTTATCCAGATCCTTAAGGAAGTTCCACATTTTGTTCAAAGAAACCTACATCGAAGTAGGTGGGTGGCGGAAGGAGCTGACCACTGCGATCCAGACATTGCAGTCGTCCTGCGCCATCACTGGAAAGCATCGAGAATCTTGGTCAAGTTCCAGCTTCCCTGAATATGCAGAAAGGGAAAGAAAAGGACAGGCCGGCCGGGTTGCCGGTCTGCGTCCGCCCTCCCTCATTTGAGTAAGGACTTGCTTTGCGCAACACAGTAAGTAGTCTGTTGCCCTGAGCTTGCAAACCAAGCATGCTTGGATCACGTCTGTCCCGGCGTTCAGTGGGACTCGGCCAACTACTCCTAGCAAAGTGGGCAGCAGACGATCTGCCTGCTTTAGCCCTAGGTTCAAAGCACCGCTTTGGGGCGTGTTTGCTCGGAATTAAAGTTCCACTGGATTCCATGGGATTCCCACCACCAGCACCTAAGCAGAGCGCATAAAACTACAACTTTCTGTATCCGTTTCTCTGGAATCCAGGGGCTTTTAATTCGAAGTATTTAGGGAGCTTGGAGAAAAATCAAAACTCGCATTTCCCCTTTGGTCCTGGCGGTTTGATGTCGGTTCCTCCCTTAGATGGTGGATTAGGCTCCTTTTGGACCATGAAAGATCCACGACACACTTCGGGTGTCCTAGAAACCACTGGGGTAGAAAGTAATAAGAGAACAAATTCTGAACATTGGCAAGCCACGCTCTGTGGTGAAGCAGTTTTTTCGTGTCTTCTTCTTCTTCTAAACCCACATCCAAGAAGCAACTCTACAGAAGTTCATTTGCTAGAAGTCCATGGCTTGCATTTGGGTTGGCAGGGAAAAAAACACCAACCCCGCTCCAGATAGTGATTTGTTTCGGGGAGGGGGGGGGAGCGAAAGAGGCGAGAGGCTTGTCTCCACCATATTATTCCCTTGGCTAATTCCCCTTTCTCTCCAATAACTTTTTGATCTGAATCTAGTGAGAGTTGGAACAGACGTTTCATTCTCCCTTAATGTGATATAAATCGCAGATGCGCTGTCTCTTTCTCCTCTTCTCTCCGTCGCCTTCCTCCACCCACCCACCCCCCAACTTTGAATGGTTAAAGCATCGACATGGAGATCATGGGCACGCACCCATACACAAAGCCTCGGCCCCCTCCCCCACCCACCCCTACCCCGGAGAAGAAAAACCATCGAAAGAAATAAAGCTGGTTAATAAGATTTTTTGGAAGGGAGTAAGTAAGCTTTGTGCTCCCAAGTAAAAAAGAAAAAAGGGGGGGGCCGTGAAACAGCTGAAGGTGACAGTCAGTTCATGCTTAATAGGATCACGGCGGCCGGCCTTCGGCTGCACGCTTCTCCTGGCGAAAGGTTCAACACCAAAGGGCCTGAATGGGGCGCTTCTAAAACATCAGACGTTTTAACACATCTGTTAGATTTCTGAGAGGGAAAGGGGTTTTGAAAAGCGTTCGCACAACAACACCCTCCCCAAATGCTTCTTCTACGTTTCTTGTTTCTTATTTACTCCCTCCTTTTTCTTCAATAGATTACTTTTTAAAACTGCTTTATTATATTTTCAACGAGGGGCAAGAGAAAGTAATCCCTCATTGCTCTGGGATTTTGTTTGGAAGGCCGCCTTCCCCCCCCCCGCCCCGTAGCGCTTCGAGAAACTCTGCCACGAAGCCGTTTTAAGAGCTAAGCCCCGCAACGTCGAGTGAATCGGCTTTGGATCGGCCCAGGCAGGGGAGTCGCAGGGCGCCGCGATCCTTCGCAGGCTGGACCAGAAATGGAGCCCTGGGGCATTCAATGCCCCCCCTTAGATAGACGGGCACAGGACTGCACCTTTGGTGAGCTGCGTGCCTGCCTGTTTTAAGAGAAAACCCTTGACAGAAATCCGCACGATTCAGTGTCGTAACAAGACTTTCATTGAAGCCGATTTCTTGTGAACAGAATCCAGCGCATCTCGTACAAAACCGAAGGAACTCAAATTACTACACAGAGTGTTACAAAACAGTGTGTGTTTTTCTTCATAAGTAGGTTCCTGTTTTCAGGAATAATAGGATATGGTATGCAACACCATAAATTATGATGTAGTTTCCTTGGCTTTTTATTAAACATATTGTTCGCTGTTCAGCGTCCCCCAAAACTTGACATCTAGGTATGGAGAAAGATTCGTGGCTTGAGTCTTGATTGTAAACAGAGCCTCTGTTGATTCTGACCAAGTTTAAAAAATACTAAGAAATGATTACGAGTCAGTCTTTTGCACTGCCGAAGCAAACGTTAAACCTTGGCAATGGGAAATGTATTTCGAGATGCAATCGCTGTAGCAGCCACTTTGATGCTGATTTAGCCACCGGGAAAAAAAGCTGAGCAGCGAAGCCAAACCAAACTTCGAAGAAGAAAAAGAAGACACACTCCGTTCACCATCGGATCTGATTTCAAACCCTTTTTCATTCCTAGCAGCGATTTCGTTTCACGTCCCTTCATTTGTATTTCCCTTTCTTCTGCAAACTCTGGGATCGGTTTATATGAATATTTATTGATTTATTTCCTTAAACCCTAAACCCAGCAGGGGCGGAGTTTAAAAAAAGAAAGAAAGAAAGCAGGAGCAAATAAATTTAGTGCTTTTCTTGAAATAATTCCCCTTTATTTTTCCTTGGGAGGCGATACATCGTTGGAAACCTTTTTGGCGTGGGGGGGGGAGTTAAAGGGAGAATTAAAATAGGCATTTAATTAGCCGGCATGTGTGTGTGTGTATGCCTGCGTTGTTTCTGAACAAAACCCCGCTGGATCGCCTTCGGAGCGACGCCTTTTCCAAAAGAGGCGGTCAATATGCAAAAGTGATGACTACACTTTCTTTGTTGCGGGCCCATTGTGCTGGGGCTTGCTTATGAAGTCTAATCCAATCATAAATTGCACCCCCCCGACCAATGAGGGAGCCCCGCGCTCCAGATGAATGAAACTCAAGTGGAGCACCCCATTGTTGGAGCTGTCACTTTTGAAGGCGCTTGAGCGGCGCTGGCCACTATAAAACCCATCGCGCTGGGAGAAGGGGGTCAAAAGAAACCCAACCAGGCCGACTCACTCCTGGGTGGATCGCTACAGAAGAAGGTGGCTGAGCAAGCACATAGAAGGGGCGGGGGCGGGGAGCGCTCCTACTTTCCTTTCGGGGCGGGGGGCAACCACCACCACCACCACCACCGACCCTCACCAGCTCCTCGCTAGGCGCGTCCTGGGACGCTGGTAAAGGTGCGCTGCCTGGCCCCTCTCTCTCTTTTTCCCCCTCCTTCCTTCCTTTCTTCCTTCTCTCGCTGGCTTATGCCATGATGTTCCCAAGCCTGATCGCGCCACCAGCGGTGTATCCGAGCCTCCTGCGGCCGACCCCCACCCTCACGTTGCCTCAATCGCTGCAATCCGCCTTTTCCAGCCACTCCAGCTTCTTGGTCGAAGACCTCATCCGGATCAGCCGGCCTGCC